GTGAGCCACCATGCCCACTCATATGTATATTTTTGATTGCATGGGGGATTGGTGCTAACCTCTGTGTTGTTCAAGGGTAAACTGTATTTATTTGCGTATCTGTTTACTGTCTTCTCCCATACCTATAAAGGAACACCAATAAGGACAGAGGCCATTTTACTCACTACTTTGTGTCCAGGACCTAGTGCAGTGCCATGTAGATCCCAGGTATACTCAATACATATGTGCTGAATAAATATGGTCTTTGCCCTGAAAGCCCTTTCCATTGTGGGGCAATAGGACTCTGAAAGCCCTTCAGAAAACACCTGGTAGACTGAATCCATGATTCTACTGAACTTTCTGAATTAGTGTTTCTCCAAAGGAATTGTGCTCCTGGGTTTCATTCTGAGAGAACAATCTACAAGCTTATAGGAAATATATAAGACTATTATTCCTACCAGGAGTAGAGTATATAAAGAGGACAGTAGTCAAAAAAAAACTTCTCAGGAAAATAAATAGTGTGCCTATGAACTAAAAACTTATAACAGCAAAGAGAAGCAGAAATATAATTATAATTCTATGAAAGCTTAACAACATTGAGTCCACATGACATGGCATAATGGCATTAAAGAACTACAGATCTTTAACAAAACAGGTGTTAAGTTAAAGCTGCCTCCAAACATAGTGAACTGTAACCTAATTTAATGTATAAACAAACTGTAACTTAAGAGTTAGGTTACAAGTATAACAAATAGCTGAGTCTCAACCAATCATAGCAGCTGAAACCTCCAGCCAATCAGAGGCTAATGGCTGCCAAAACATGACCCAATAAGGCAAACACAGAACTGTAGCCAATCAGACTATTTCTGTATCTCATTTCCTTTTCTCTGACTATAAATATAGTCTGCACAACCTCCACTATAGAGTGGAACATTCTGCACCACTTTTGGTCCTGAGTGTTCCCTGAACTGTTTTCTACTGGACTAAACTCTGTTAAATTTAACTTATCTGTCTAAGGTTTTCTCACTTAACACAGACAAAACTTCTAAATAAAAAAGACAATAAAGTCCTATTTCTCCACTTTACAATTACAATATGAATCCTAGGCAGTCCACTCTTCCACATACTTTTCTTTAGAGCACTGGTTTTCAAACAGAGGTGATTCTGTTCCTTGGAGAACATCAGATAACATCTGGAGATATTTTTGGTTGTCACACTGTCGGGAGGAGGGATACTGGAATCTAGTGAGGAGAAACCAGGGATGCTGCTAAACATTCTGTTACACACAGGACAGCTTCCGCAACAAAGAATTCAGCCCAAAAGGTCAATAGCGCCAAAGTTGAAAAGCCCTGCTTTAGAGGAGTATGTGATCAAAAACTTAATGTGATATAACTGGTATGTGTATATCATCTCTTGGAAGACAGCTAAGAAACTACTAAGAGTGATTATCTCTGGGGAGGAGAACTGAGGGTTAGGGGGAAAAGAGGAGTGGGTGGGGAGACTTTTTTTTTTTTGAGATAAGAGTCTCACTCTGTTGCCTAGTCTGGAGTGCAGTGGCACAATCTTAGCTTACTGTAAACTTTGCCTCCTGGTTTCAAGTGATCTTCCTGCCTCAGCCTCCCGAGTAGCTAGGATTACAGGCTTGTGCCACCATGACTGACTAATTTTGTATTTTTAGTAGAGATAGGGTTTCGCCATGTTGGCTAAGCTGGTCTTGAACTCCTGATCTCAGGTGATCTGCCCACCTCAGCCTCCCAAAGTGTTAGGATTACAGGCAAGAGCCAACACACCCAGCCGAGACTTACTTTTAACTATAGTTACTTTTCTGTGCCTCTGAATTCGGCACTCTCTCTCTCTCTCTATATATATATATATATGGTGCCTACTCATAAATCAGTAGTAAGAAAAATAACCAAAAAATAGCCAGTGTGGCTCCTGACTATGATCTCAAAAGACTACCTTTGACTCATAGAACATTACTAAAAACAAGAAGAACAGGACCTATGTTGTAGAATAAATCCTGAATTAGAAGTTAGAAAACTGAGGTTTGTCACTTCAAACACGAGCATATCACCAAACACTGGGCTTGTTTCCTCATATATAGAATGTAGGGTAGTGTGCCCTACAACATGCACACAGAACTATGAAGATCAAATGAAATTATGCAGGTGAACTACTAAGAACCAAATACATTATAATTCCTGGTATTGTGAAAGAACAAGATTAGAAATGATAAATAAGACCTTTAACATTATTCTCTTTCTAAATTATATATCATTTCACTGTCAATAGAGTTTTAGGAGTTGTTTGCTGTTAATAGTACTGAAATCTTCTACTTATGCTGCCTACCCTAAGATGATAAACAGCTCCAGGGAAAGGTCTTATTATGATGAGCCACACAAACTGTAGGCAATTACTATTTTATGATTTGCATGATTATGATAAAGGTTAAGAGGAAAAAAATTTTTCCTGTATCACTCAATTTGCGACAAAATAAGTAGAAATGAGGAATTTTGGCTCTGCTAGACCCCAACAATATTTCTATGATTGGCTGCTTTAGTAGAAAGAGGACAGTAAAAGCATTCATCAGTACGTAACATGTCTAGTTTAGCCACCAACTCTTTTGTCTAACAGCTGGGCTATGTGGGCATAGGCCAAAGAGCTAAATTTCTTACTCATAAATTACTGAGTCATGAAAATAACACCTTCAGCACTCATGTCTTTGAATGGCAAGGACAGCCAATATGTAGGAGTTGCCGGCAAAAATGATTAATGTTGATGATATTGTGAAGTTCTGTAGTTTTAGCAATTTTGAGCTGAGTAAGTGAGGCGCCCGTCACCAGAAAGGAAAAAGGAAACCGTAGGTGTCTTACGTGATATACTTGTTATAGAGGATGAAGGCATGTTCAATGTTGCCTTCCTCAGAGTAAATGGATGCCATTCGGATAATCTCAACTCCAGAGCGGAAGTACCGACGGGGTGGAATATCTTCATTCACCTCTACCGCACTACCCAGCTGGGAGAGAGCCCTCACCCGTTCTTCGGGCGGGAGGCTCACATCTCCATGGTCAGACATCAGGAATAAGTTCTGAGACAGAAAAAACAGATGGCATCAATACCATTGCCCCCATCATCCCAGCAGTGTCTTACAGTTTATCTCACAGACCTCTACCTTAGTAAGAAAATATAAGAGAAACATACCCAGTGCTGTGGCTCCTATTAAATAAAGACTTTCTTACAAGAAGACTGAGACCCTCACCCCAAACCACAATGATGAAAGGACTGGCAGACTCAAAAACGTACAATCCCTGTCCCATAATTAGGTGGAACAAATAGTATAACCACAGTGGGTCAACTCACTGTTGGTTCAGTTCAAGTTAATCAAATTCCTTTTCATTAGGTGGCTCCACCCACAGCACCGTAAGAGTAGGAGCAGTATCTTTCATTTTCTATTATTTCTCCTTTCAGACACCCACATACCTCTACCCCCAGTACCTGGCAAAGTGCACTCAGTGAACTTTCATGAGGATTGTTAACTGACTTAAAGGTTGACCATTTTTATTTAATCTGAGAGTAACTGACATTTTCTGTGGTGTACTTTTCATATTTGAGCACTAGGCGAGTTAGGGGAGCTGGTCTGGGAATTAATGCTCATAATCATAACTCTGCTCACTAAACCACTGCAGTCAACCTATAAAATCATTCATTCATCATGGCAAGGAATTTGGACCTTGAAAACAACCACTTAGTCATCTTCATAGACTAAGCACTCTGAATAACAAGAGGGCACGATGGTAACTTGGATTGCAAAAACCAACCAACCAACTCAGCAGCTTTCTCTCCTGGGGTCCAAAAACTCCAGCAATTCTAGTCTTTCTAGGTATAGTTGCTGTTAGAATCAGATTCCAGATTCCAACCAGATATCATCACTATCATCTCCAAAATAAATCCGGGCAATTGATACACATTGCATTACAGCAAGCCCTAATCAGCATGCTCTAGAATACACAAGCTACAGTAAAATTAATCTTGGAATTTAAGGCCCTGTGGCAACTGGCCCTCCCCAACAGAGATCTTTTGCTTCAGTCAGGACTCCAATCCGCCCAGGCATCCTTACATTTCAGTTTCATTTGTCTATCCACTGTTTTTCTTTTCTGCCACAACTCTTCCTTCAGGGGTAATCTTAGCCAATTCCATCTTTAGGTCTCTTCAATATTCGGGTCACAATGCCTCCACAAAGCTTCCCCTCTAAAACATCCTCACTAATAGCACAAAAGCCATGAGGACTACTAGGGATGCAGAGACGGTCCATCTCTCCTGAGGCCTCTTTAGGGATTCAGAAAGCCGCAAGCATATCTAAAACCTCCCCAAGTTGCCTAATTAGTAAACCTAGTCCACAGCCCATTTAAGTTAACTGAAACAGAGGATGGTCGTTGCATCTCAGTACCTCTTGGGAGAGGTTCTTGTGGGTTAAGAAAGGAACCACCTCCCGAGACCAGGAAACAGCGCCGGGTACCAACGGGTTGAGCAATTCCAAAAACGGGATGCAGCATCTGCAAATGAGGGGGAAGGGCGGCGTAAAGGACCGAGGGGAAAATACGAGGAGGAGAAAGGAAGCAGCAGGAATGAGCGGAGGGGGCGTATACAGTGGGAAGGGCTCCACTGACAACTGCCTGAGGAGCACTTCTTAAAGGCACTCAAGACCAAGTTGCCAACCCCGGGCACAAGCAACCAGGGTTTTCAGGATCGTTCAAACGCAGTAGGCGGGGAAACCCTGGGCCTGGCTGGTCAGGCGCCAGCCCGCAGAGACCGAAGCCGTCGGGTGCCTCGAGCGAGGCAGGCCGCGCAGGGGACTCGGGGAGAGAAGGCTGCAGGCCCCACACTCACGGCAGCCGTTCCCCTTCAGAGTCCGACCACAATCAGAGCCCCTGCCCCACGACGTTCCCGGGACCCTTCCCCACCTTTCCCCGCAGATGACACTCGGAGCTTCCGGAAACGTCACATCCGGCGCCCGCTCCGCCCACTCCCTCTCGTCGGTCTATCACTTTCTCAAGGATTTAGGACTTGGGATGGAGAGCTAGTGGGTGGGCGTGAATCACCTGCTGAAAACCTGACCAATGAGGAGCGAACGATACAGCGGCCATCTTGGTAAAGGAAAAGGAACAAGGAAGAAGGCGGAACCAATGACCAAGCTAAGGTTTGGTTTTAAAATTTTTCGATTTGGGTTAGTCCCTCGTCACGCTCACAGTACTCCTACTTTTAAGGAGGGATTGCTGATCCCAGTACACCTGCATGCTTAGCTAAACCAGGATTTATAAATTGGGGGACAGGAAGTCTTTCGAATGTATTTTTCAGCTTGCGTTACATTCTACACAAAATTGGTAGTCTTAGATATTAGGCAATAGTTGTTACTGCTTAGAAAAGAACATAAGTCTAACTTTTTTTTTAAAATAAGACAAGGCCTTGCAGTGTCACCCAGGCCAGCACAGTAGTGCAGTGGTGTGATCAAAACTCACTGTGGTCTCCAACTTCTGGACTTAAGCAATCTTCCTGCTTCTGCCTCCCAACGTACTGGGATTTACTGGTGTGTGCCACTGCACCGGGCTGAGACTAACTTCTTAATGTCAAAAAAACTATAAAATATTCGAAAAAAAGGGTTTAATCTCTAAGAGCCACCATGCAAAAGCAGTAGAGACACAAAGATCTGTATGACAGTTCCTGCCCTGAGACCGGGACAAGGTGGTTTTATGCATCAAATACAAAGTGGCACGTTCTGCATGTAGGTGTGTGTCTGTATGAATCCATACACACTCTCTTTCCAAAAAGGTCCTGCAAGCTTGCTAGTCATTCTGTCTCAGGAGACTTTGTGAAACGTTATGCTTTCGTTTAAAAGTCTAAGTCTCTGGGGGACACTTTCCCAACATTTGGAAGCCTTCCTGTGAGTTAGTTAATGTGATGACATGACCTATTCTTCAAGGTCTAGCTTAAAGCCCTAGTTCAGATGTTGCCTCCTCCACCTAGCCAGACTCCAGATCTCTCATTTCTCCCAAACTCTGTTGTGTATATTTCTGTTGGAGTTACTTGAAGTGATTCTGTGTAGTCATCAACTTTTCAGACTTGGGGTTGAAAGTACTTAATTGCATCATCACCTCCCCTTCTGCCCCCGACAAGCATTAATGTACATGGGTCTACTATTGACTCTCATGGATCTACTGCAGATAAATCTGGGAAGATAATTGTACAGAATGCTCTATCTTCAAAGCTCTCTCTACTGACTCTCTTCAGAATGTACACATAATGGGTTGAGCCTAAAAATATTGACGCACTGGAGATGCCGGTCATAGGGTGGGCATATAGTGTAGGTAGGGTTCTGGCAGGAGGCAACACAGGCCAAAATCCAATCCATTCAACCTCTCAGTCAGTAAATGTTTACTGAGTGTTTCCTATGTTCCAGGTTCTGTTTTAGGTGTTAGGGATACATCAGCAAACAAATCTAGCAGATGGATACTCTTATGGTGGAAGTACACACAGAAGTAGAGCTGGTGGGGCAAGAAACAGACGCATCTACTCCTAGAGAACAATTTCCAAAGTATTTTTTTTTTTTTTTTTATGTTTAGCTTACAGGTAAAGAGAATTTACAAACATCCTAGATTTTAAGATTATGCTGAGAAAACTTTAAGAAGCTATAACTGAGACACACATATAAAAGGGACGTGCATAGTCATAAACAGCCAGTGCCAGCCACATAGAGGCTGTTGCTGATATCAGAAAGTTAATATGCACAGTTGCTAGCAGTTCTTAAGGCAATGGCTAAGTGGAGGATCTAGTCATTTTAGGGAGAGAATTTGTAAATGTTGACTATATTTTTTGATATTTGAGGCAAAGTTCAATACTCAGCTTTCTAGGGACCTGTAACAACGAGGAAATCTTGGCCAAGGTGAAAATTTTACATTCCTTATTTCTTGTTTAACTGGAAAAGTTTAAAACTAAACAATTTTGTACACACAATCAGGAAATCAGAGCTATAAAATGTTCTTGGCGTAACTGAGGAGAATATCCTACCTACCCCTGCCCTAAGCATTGGAGGCTAAACATGGAAGGTATTCTTTCAGCAAATAGGCTTCAGCAGCTCATTTGGTAGACTAAGACCAAGTTAGGATTTGAGATGCTCTTTCCTTCTGGTGCCCACACCTGGCCATAAACAATTTTCCTGAATATAGCAGCCCCCATCTGGCCTCTTGCATATGCCAATGTCAGATCTCCTGCACTCCTGCATGCTCATTCCTACCTGCTCATTTTTGGGCAGCAGCAAAAGATGCCTAGAATGTGAAGTTCTTAATCTGATATGTAACATCGAGGTTTAGAAAACACAGGCCTGGACCAGGTGTGCTGGCTCATGCCTACAATCCCAGCACTTTGGGAGGCTGAGGCAGGAAGAGCGCTTAATCCCAGGAGTTTGAGGATATAGCGAGCTATGATTGCACCACTGCTTTCCAGCCTGGGCAACAGAGTGAGACCCTGTCTCTCAAAAAACAAAACAAAACAAAAAACCCAGGAGGATCACTTGAGCCCAGGAGTTTAAGGCTGTTGTGTGCTATGATCTCACCTGTGAATAGCCACTGCTTCCCAGCCTGGGCAACATAGTAAGACCCCTATCACTAAAAAGCAAAAAGAATGAAAGGAAAAGAAAAACACAGACCCAGAGGAGCTTTTGAGGGGCATGGGAGGTAAAAACAAGGAAGACTCCAGACTTCAGGTGTATTTCACTTGCATACTTGGTACTCCTGTGTTAAGTGGCATACCTAGAGGGACAATTGCTTTAGTACAGGAGGGCATTCATTCTTACCTACTATAATGCATTCTTACAACAGCAGCTAATGATCTTTTTTTTTTTTTTTGAGATGGAGTCTTGCTCTGTCACCCAGGCTGGAGTGTGGTGTGGCGCAATCTCGGCTGCAACCTCTGCCTCCCGGGTTCAAGTAATTCTCGTTTCCTCAGCTTCCTGAGTAGCTGGGATTACAGGCACCCACCACCACACCTGGCTAATTTTTGTATTTTTTTTTTTTAGTAGAGATGGGGTTTTGCCATGTTGGCCATGCTGGTCTTTACCTCCTGACCTCAGGCGATCCACCCACCTCAGCCTCCCAAAGTGCTTGGATTACAAGTGTAAGTCACCACGCCTGGCTGCTAATGGTCTTTTTAAAGCAAAAATCAGATTCCATCACTTCTGGGCTTAAAACTCTTTAGTGAAGTCCCATGGCACTTAGAATAAACATCCATACTCCTTACTGGGGATTACAGAGTGATGCAGCCCCTGTTGCCTCTCTAACTTCATCTCCCAATCTCCTTGCGTAATACTCTCCATCTACTCCATCCAAACATCTGCTTTTCCACTCAAGAACTTTGCGTAGCTGATTCCTCTTTCTGGGGTGCTTTTACCCTGATCTTCACTTGGCTGGCCCTGCCTTATCATTCATTTCTCAGTTTACATGTTAACCCCTCAAGGAGAACTTCTCTGACCACCCATTCTAAGGAGCCACCCAGTCATCTGTCATTAGTTGGTCCTGTTTTAATTATCTTGATAGTCCTTATCACTGATATGATTTGGGTTGCTAATTGTCTTGCATTCCCCGCTAGAATATAATTTCCAGAAAGACATGATCTTTTTCTGTCTTGCTCACAGCTCTCTCCCCACTGCCTAGAATGGCTTGTGAACCCAGATGTTGTGATTCAACATCGTTGCATGTTCAGATGTTGAGATAAATATCGTCTCACCGTCCCCAAAATGATTAACAGGAATGGGCTAGCTAATTATGCTGATTGCTGAGATGAACAGTGAAAAACAATGACCGTTATGCTTTTGGGACCCACTCTTCTCTACAAGGCACTTAGAGCTAGAAGCAGAAAGCCTCAAGGGTAGATGTCCTGATTAATTGAGAAAGTGTTTATTGAATATCTGTCATGCTCTTGGGTCTGCGCCTGGCATGGGTCTACCACAATGAAACAGAAAAACTGAGTTCCAGTTGTTTTAAGGCTTTCGTGGATGAAGGTTTAGAAGGAAAAAAAGTCTTTAAAAGATGACCGATATTCTCAAGGGGAGGCTATTTGAGCTCCATGCATTGAGACACTAAACAGCCTATCTTGAACATTTCTTGGGAATGGAGGGACTTATGAAAGCAGAAATGGAATGTGTACTAAAGACAAATTGTTTACATTGTTAAAATTTTTGCTGTGAGTCCACTGGGAACATAAAATGACAAATAGATTTGAAAAGTAAATACTTGGGGAAAAAAAGATATAGAATGAGCTGATTCAAATAAAGGGAAATGTACCAAATGCACTGGGATCTTTTAAGTTTGTGCATTATGAATGCATGCATATATGTTTCTTTTCAGCTGGAGTTGGAATTACCCAATGAAGTTGTTTCTTGAGAAGGCTACTGTAAAACCAGTAACATGAAGGTGAATCTGTGGTTTGGAGCTCCACCTATAGTTAGTTTGAAGACTGGCCTCTCTCATCGCCAAGAAAAACGATCACTTTGGAAAATGAGTCCTTATGCATGCTTGGAAAGATGTTTAATATGTATATATTTCTAAATTTATGTTTAAATCTGTACATGAGGAATCCATTTTATATTAGACATATTTTCTTTTGTTACCTGCTTGCTAGATGTGGACTATATAGTTTATTTTCCAATAATTCAAAGCCTTTTAGGTCACAGTACCATTTTCAAGGTTGCAAATTTCAACAAGAGTTAAATGACATGAGAAACTGTATAGCTATTCGAGAATTGGACATTTTGAGTGAAGGATTTTATCATTGTATATTTGGTTTACATATTTCTTTTCAAATACAGGGCCTGAATTATGACCAGGAACTATAACTTTTAATGAGGGATAAAGAATTGCGGGTAGCTAAGTGTGGTGGCTAATGCCTGTAAGCCCAACTTTGGGAGGCCAAGGCAGGCGGATAAGCTGAGGTTGGGAGTTCGAGACCAGCCTGACCAACATGGAGAAACCCTGTCTCTACTAAAAATACAAAATTAGCTGAGCATGGTGGTACATGCTTGTAATATCAGTTACTTGGGAGGCTGAGGCAGGAGAATCGCTTGAACCTGGGAGGTGGAGATTGCGGGGAGCCAAGATCATGCCATTGCACTCCAGCCTGCACAAGAGTGAAACTCCGTCTCAAAAAAAAAAAAAAAGAAGAATTGCATGTCACTATGTGTGTACACTAAAAAAATACTCATTTAGTTAGTAATTTCACGAATATTTATTGATTATCATCTATGTGCCAGACACTGTTTAAGGCATTAGGCACGTATCAGTGAAAAAAGCAGACAAAAATTTCCCTGCCCTCAGGGATGTTATAGTTTAGTGATGGATGAAGGAGTGGATTACAAAAATTATCATGATAAAGAAGTCAGTTACCTAGTGTATTAGAAGATTCAAAATACTGTGGAAGCAATGGGCCCTGGCACAGGGAATCAGATTGAGGGAAGGGAGAAGCAGTGAGGCAACTCCAGTTCCAACTACTGTGGTCAAGGAAACTCCCATTGAAAAAATACTTGGCAGTAAGAAGAGCTTTCCAAGCAGGGAATAGCAAGTGTAGAGGCCTTGAGTCAGAAGCTTGCTGGTGTATTCAAGGCTCAGTAAGGGGGCTCAGTGTGCCTGGAGTGCAGTGAAGGGGAGCATAGCAGTAAATCATGCAGGGCACGAGTCAGCAAGCCAGTGCAGCCTGTTTTTGTAAATAAAGTTTTATTGGAAAATAGCCATGCTCATTTGTTTATGTATTTTCTCTGGCTGCTTTCATGCTACAACTGCAGAGTAGAGTTGCTGAGACAGAGACAATCTATCCCACAAAGACTAACATATTTAACTGGCTCTTTACAGAAAATATTTGCTGACCCCTGCTGTAGGTAAGATTTTATAGGCCATTCATTGTAAGAATGTTGGCTTTGATTCTGTGAGAAATGAGAAGCTATGGGAAGGATCGAGCAAATGAGTGACAGGATCTGATTTGAGTTTTGAAAGGATCATTATGGCTGCCATGTTGACAAATTTTAGGGAAAAGCGTGGGAACAGGAAAACCAATTAGGACTGTGGTTCAAAAGGTGTAACAGCCAGGCACAGTGGCCCACACCTATAATCCCAGTGCTTTGGGAGGCTGAGGTAGAAGGATCTCTTGAGGCCAGAGTTTGAGGTTGCAGCAGTAAGCTATGATCACACCACTGCACTCTAGCCTGGGCAACAGAGTGAGGCCCTTCTAAAAAAAAAAAAAAAAGTATAACAATGTGCTCCCAAGACACCATATACTACAGCAGATTCATCTGGGTGTAAGTGGGAATTTTAAATTTGTGAAGGATTCATAGCAACACTTAACATTTGTTAGATACTATATGAGCTTCTAGCTAGTAAGTATAGTTCATAGTTTCAACAACAGGTCATGCCACACTCCTTTCAATGATACTATATCTTTGTGAAGCTGGGTTTTTGGCAAATGCCCTATGCAAATCAATGTGGAACAGGAAGTGAGGCTGGTAATGTCCTTGATTCTAAGGTTTGAGATGTCAATACCCCACTGGCACACATTAGCAAGTGATTGTGGTAAAGAGTGAGGTTTTCTTTTAACTTAAATATCTTGGGGCAGGGAGAGGGAGGGCATAGGCCAGGCCCCAGTTAACACCAGGGGCTCCTCAGCATCCAGGCTTGGCCTCTCGTCCTTTCCCTTCCCTTTCTTGGCTTTAGTCTTGGAGGTGCAGGGCTTGGTCACGCGGATGGTCTCCTGGCACTGGGCATTGTAGCACGCCTTCTTCAGCGTGCCCTGGCGGACTCTGGTGTCGGTACCGCTGTCACACACACTTCAGTTCTCAAACTTGTACTTGCAGTCGGCTCCAAACTCCTCCTTCCAGTTACAGGGGATCCTGCACCGGATGCGCTGGGTCTGGGCCCCGCAGGTGCTTTCGCGGAAACCCACGCAGCAATCCTTGCTGCTGCGGGAGTAGGGCCCCCAGGACCACTCCTCCGCGCACTCGCTCCCTGGGCCGTCCTTCTTCGCCTTGTCTTTCTTTTTGGCCACCGCAGAGGTAAGTGCCAACAGGGCAAGGAGGGAGAGGAGGAGGAAGCCTCGGTGCTGCACCCTGGGCCACCGTGCGCTGACTTGCTCGATGCCTGCGCTGCTTCGTTCCCTCCCCCTAGCTTCTTAATAAATGGGACTATTAAGTATTTCTTTTGGCCTAGGAGTGAGACAACAAGGGCTTGGTAAAGTTAGAAGTTTGGGAACCTCCGGGTTGAATATTGCAATAATCTAGGCAGGAAATGATGAGGGCTTGGACGAGTGAAAATGGAGGAATTTGGTTAGAAGTTAACAGTTCCTAGAAGTGGTTTGAAAGTAGGGCAGGCGGAATTTGCTAATATTCTGGGTGTGCAGTTGGGAGGGAAAGACAGAAGTCAAATGACTTAAAAGGTTTCTGGCCCAAGCAAGTGGAAAAATTGCATTACCATGAACTGAGATTCAGAAAATTGTGTATGAACCAGGTTTTTTTGGGGCGGAGGAGGGCAATGGGAAACTCAATTTTATACATGTTTAGGAAAGAAGATACAAAGAGAAGGAAGTGATACATATTCTGATCAGGGCCTTTCTCTAGATTCTCCACCCATGCGCCCTTTAGGCTGTTGTGTTCTGACTTCTCACTCAAAATATGGACTGACGAAGTACAGAGGTGCCATATTCGACAGAGGAGACTCAGCAAGCCTTGTCTGATTCAGAGTCTTAACTAGTTTTGGGGCAATGGAGCTCTGCTTCAGGGAACAGAAAACTACACGGTTCCCATATTTAAAATAATTATGTCAATAGATTGAGCAGGATTTTAGAAAGATGGAGGCAGCAGTGTAGTTTTGAATCTCCTCAAATCCTCTTATGGAAATAGATCAAACCAAAAGCCCTTTACCACAAAACTAGAGGACAGTTTTCCCTCTGAACCCAAAAACAAGAGGGTGAGGCAAGCCATCACCAATGGGTACCAGACTTGCCTGGTATGGCATCCACACAAAAGGGAGTGGCAGACAGGATGCCTTCCAACTGCCAGCAGAAGTTCACTGGAAAGTACTGTGAGCCGACGTGAGAACAGCAGCTGAAACTGTGAGGGGTTTGGCCCAATCTCAAAGTGAGTAGGTACAAGGGACCCGTGATAGACTCTGAAGGGCTGAAGCAGTTTAGTCCCTTCCCACTCTTGAGGCTGAGCAGCAAGAGCTTTCCAGGATGCAGCCCCACACAGAGGACAAACTACTGGGAGGAACAACTGACATGAAGGATAAAAATCAAGGTGGGTAACAGAGCTAGGAAATCTCAAAAAGCAAACCAAACCACCATATTATTTGATACTACATTTAAAAATAGAGAAGTTTGGGGAAGTTTTAGAAAAGTTATCCTTAACCACAACTCCTTTTCAAAGTGGAGAAAAACCACTTTCATCTGAAAATGAGTAACAGGAAAGGATTGTAGTCAAATCCCATACAAAGGTATTATAAGAGAAAAGAGAGGCTGGCACAGTGGCTCACGCCTATAATGCCAGCACTTGGGAGGCTGAGGTGGGCGGATCACAAGGTCAAGAGATAGAGACCATCGTCTTTTTTTTTTTTTTCCAGGCTGGAGTGCATCACAGCTCACTGCAACATCCACCTTCCAGGTTCAAGCGATTCTCCTGCCTCAGCCTCCCAAGTAGCTGGGATTACAGGAGTGCACCATCATGCCTAGCTAATTTTGTATTTTTAGTAGAGACAGGATTTCACCATGTTGACCAGGATGGTCTCCATCTCTTGACCTCATGATCCGCCCACCTCAGCCTCCCAAAGTGCTGGGATTATAGGAATGAGCCACCATGTCCAGTCAGTTTTGATACCTCTTTATGGCTTAACAATAAAAAGGATGTATGGTTTTTATCAACTGTCTCCAAAATAATGTCTTGTTATATAGGGAGTACAGTTCTTTTCATTCATACATAAGTTCAGTAGTTGCTTCCCTAACTGCAAAGGCAATGCCATTTAGTTGAGTAGCTCCTGAAAGCAGCTTTGAGTTAGAAGTATGTGTGTTACACCCCCACATTGGTGTGCTGTGTGGGGCAGTTCAACACAAATGTAACAATGTATTTTTCTGAATGAGAGTTGGCATGTCACATGCATTCTCTAGATAAATAATTATAATTAGTGTTATAGTCTTAAGATTTGTTTTCTAAAGTGGATACTGTGGGTTATTTTTGTGAACAACCTGATGTTTGGAATATTTTTTTCCTCAAAATAAGTCCTTATTAAACCAGTAATTTGGAGGAAAAAAAAAGCTTCAGAAATAAAGACTAAACTAAAAAGAACACAGGAATGAACAGGCTGGGCATGGTGGCTCACACCTGTAATCTTAGTACTTTGGGAGGCCGAGGCAGGTGGATCAATTGAGGCCAGGAGTTCAAGACCAGCTTGGCCAACATGGCGAAACCCTGTGTCTACTAAAAATACAAAAATTAGACAGGCATGGTGATGTGCACTTGTAATCCCAGCTACTCAGGAGGCTGAGGCACAAGAATCGCTTGAACCCAGGAGGCGGAGTTTGCTGTGAGCCAAGGTTGCACCAGTGCAAATCTGGCCTGGGCAGCAGAGTGAGACTCAAAGGAAAAAAAAAAAAAATGAATGAATGAACATAATGGATAAACCCTT